CTGAGGAGCAAACAGAAATGAAATTAACTCCACCAAATTTCCTCATCTTGTGAAAAAATGTTTTACACCCCCCCCCCCCCCCCCCACACACACACAGAAAGTTACATGATTGCCCAGCCCTCAACCAGCAGGTGATTAAAAGCTTGTCCTGAACCTGGTTCTGTTAAATGTTTCTTCCTTATGAGGGAGTTTTTCTTTCCACTGTCTCCTTCATGCTTGCTCAAGATGAGAATCTGTGATGGAGTTAAATTCATAGCAGTCTGCTCCTCAGATAAATAGTGTTAAATAATTTTTTTTATATAGAAATATTTCTGTTCAGTGCCCTGAGATGACTTCTGTTGTGACTTGGTGCTGTATAAATAAACTGAATTGAATTGAATTAAAGGTAATAACACACTCATGTTTCTCTTCCTGTTTCCAGTTTCTATGTCCTGCTGGACCAATGTTTTGCTACTCCCTCTCCTTTCAACGTGTCACTCAGTGATCAGTACAACTTCTTCACTGGGTAAGGGATATGCATTTTATCAGTTGTGGATAATTATTATTAAAGGCATGTGCTAAATAATGTTGCTTTTCACCAGATGCATAATAGAAGGCGATGTAACCGTGATAAACAACGGCGACTCCACTGCTGCCCGTTTTGAGTTTGAGGCCTTCCGCTTCGTTCAGCACAGAGCTCAGGAGTTGTCCTCCACCTACCTGCACTGCATACTGAGACTCTGCGAGCCGAGCAAATGCAACGAGCTGACTTCTGTAAGTAAACAAGCTCAGAAAAATTACTATATTTAAGAACAACAAAATGCTTACGCATCACTTTTCTCATATTATTAGAGCAAGAACTTTAAATGCAAAAATCTAACAAGTTTTACCTTAAAACCCTTTAGTAAGACAAACTTAGTGTCCTGCCAAAAATTGAATTTTTGCACTGACCTCAATTTGTTAATGTTCAGTATGAAAGATGTTTAGAAAATTATTTGCAAACTGTTTCCAAACAAAGTGAGGTTTTGTTCAAATACAATGTCTTTATGTCAAAGGTCATGCTCAGTAATCCAGGTAATTATCCAACAATGTTCAGTCAGGTCATCTGGATGGTTTCGTTTTGTTTTCTGAGACGCTTCATCCTTCATCCAAAGAACTTCTTCAATCTGAGGAGCCACCAAACAAACAGATTCTCAAAACCAGCATACTCCATAGTGGAAATGTCTTTATATTAAATTAACCTAAACATTGGAATGAACTGTTCAGGTTTTTTGACATAGAGTTTTGTGGAATGGTTGTGAGTAATTAATATCTTACCTGCTGTAGATAGCTCTTTAAACAGCTTTATTTTTGGAGATGTAGAGATTAGGACTTTGTCCACACTACATAAGATTTTGTTCAAAACTGAGATTTTCTGCCATGCTTGTACAGCTTGTCTACAAATAAATTTTGGTTAACTTTAAATTATTATTATTATTATTATTATTATTATTATTATTATTATTATTATTATTACTATTATCCATCCATCCATCCATTATCTTTAATCTGCTTCTTCCATTTTGGGTTACGGGGGTCGCCGGTGCCCATGTCCAGCAATCACTGTGTGAGGGACGGGGTATTACTATAATTATTATTATTACTATTATTATTATTATTATTATTATTATTATTATTATTAAGTTTTCTAAAGTGGATGTTTTTTTAAATTCTACATTTGACTGATTGGTGAGGAAATTTTTAAAAGTCATATGGTATGGTATGGTATGAAGTTTATTCATTTTAAAAAAAGTACAAAACAATTCCATAACAATATATAAAAAGATACAAAAGATTTAAAATGAAAGGCAGCAGAAAGAAGAAAAAATCTTATTATATCTGCCCCTTTTTTCAAACAATTATTTCAGACATATTAATTTTCAAGTAACAGAACAAAATGAATAACTTTCTAATTTTTCTAATTCTAATAAAAAACACACACTAAGCTACTTCATATATACTTTTTTAACAATCTAGATTTGATCTTTTTCTTAAATGTACACATTGACTTGACATTTTTTACATCACTCTCTAGACCATTCCACAATCCAACTCCTTGGATTGAGGTAGACCTTCCCTTCAGACTAGTTCTGAATTTTGGTTTGACAAATATCTCTATCCCCTTAAGATTGTAACAACTTTGTCTTTTAACAAAATTTCTTTGGATATTTAATGGTAATGTGTTATTTTGAGCCCTATACATAACTGATAAAATACTATAATCTACCAAATCATGGAACTTCAATAACTTCAGTTGATGAAATAATGTGCTTGATGGGTGACAGTAATGCTTTCTGGTGATAATTCTTACAGCTCTTTTCTGTAAAATAAAAATAGGTTTTGTAAATGTTTTACACGCTTTCCCCCAAACATCAATGCAATAGATTAAATGTGGAACAATGATTGTGTTATACAACATGTACAGAGCTTTATCATTTAATAATTCCCTGACTTTGTATAGTACTGCAATAGATTTAGATATTTTTGTTCTTACAGAATTTATGTGATTTTTCCATGTTAGCTGTTCATCAATGATTACACCCAAAAATTTCATCTCATTAACTCTACTATTAACTTTCATCTCATACACTCTACAAATATAGTAACCTATAATAGGATAATAATAACAAAATATGAGTGAATTTACTATTAAACTTTGCAATTGTGCTTAGACTTATATATTTTTTAATTTAACCAAAAATAAAGTTAATAATGTCAAGCTAGAAGATGTTCTCGCTACATTAAATGTTGTTAATGGGGATGTTTTGCCACCTAGTGGCACTGCACGGGTGGTAATTTTATAGACTGAAATAACTCATAAAAATCGGATGAGCCAATGGGCAGGGCTGATAACAAAGCAGACTGTTGCTGCCAAAAAAACAACTCGGTTTGTAAAAACATCATAATGATGCAGGAAAATGCTATTTTTTATTTTTATATTGCAGTACGGTTGTTTTCACAGGAGCACAAAAAGCATCACTAAGGGAGAAGTCTTTTCAGATTATTCATGTGATTTATTTTTCATTGTAAATATTTACCAAGTATCTCTTGCAGGAATCATAATAAAAAAAACAAAAAAACAATCAGACTGGAATTTTCTTAAAATGGCAGAAATCCACTTTGGTTTTTGCCCCCTCAAAGAAGTTAACTCAACAATTTGGTCAGAATTCAATTTTATTTTCCAAACTAAGGTAATTTGAAGAACTATCTGTAACAGGTAAGATATTAACTGTTCATAACCTTTCCACAAAACTGCACTTCAAAATATCTAAACTGTCTCTTTAACAAGTTAAATGTGGGGGACCTCCTACAGCTGGCTGTCACTCTTTGATGAGACTAACGATTTAAAACAAGTTTGCCAATCCTAACCAGTATGCACTATAATGATTGAATGACAAACTGGAACTTCTAATATGTGTTTGTTTTTAGGGTTGTTATGAAAAAAGAAGGAAAAGAGCTGTGACTCCTTTTGGGCAAAGAAGCAGTGACTCTGCAACTCTCACATCTGGACCTCTCTATACAGCTGCAGCAGGTTTATCTACCGGTACTGCATCCCACATATGTTCATGTACTCGTACAGGTTTATGATTACCAGTTTTATTGATAATGCTTCTTCTCTCACTTAGCGGAGGACTCACCTGTCACAGCTGCATACAGTGAGCATTCCTTGTTTTTAATCACATTTTTTGAATGATTCAGAATGCATCTAACATCTTGAACAGCCTGCAATGTGAAACTTCTTGTGTTTATCAGGTAGTAAAGCTTCAGGCATGAACGCTGTTGACGCCACAGGCCTGCTGGTGGGGGCGGTGTTTGCATGGGTGCTCGTTGGTTTCCTCTGAAGAAGCATCACCAGACGGGACGAATATCTCACACATTTGACTGATACTTAAAGATTGTCTTAGCAAACTGTCCCATTTGACCACATTTTCACAAGACATAGCACTTTGGCTTGAGGAGTTGTAAAGATAATAAATGTTTCTTGGAAACAACTCTTTGACAAGTGTTCGGTTAAATCAAGCAAACACTAATTATGTAGCTTTTCCCATCCTGTTTGCTGCAGTCAAAAAAGCCCTGAACTGTGGAAAAGAAAAACAACAATTCAAGTTTTACAGAACAGGATAACTTTAATGGAGGAACAAGTTTGTTCATTAAGGCCAGTTTGCCTGCTTCATGTGTTTCCTTCATTCTTATATAGATATTTGTACAAAATTCAAACGAGGAGTGTTCGTCTTTAACAAAGATACAAGAGAGCATAAAACACATGATCTCCCACACTCTCAACTGGACGACAAGGCATACAATAATTAAAATATATGTATATATATTACATTTTTAACGACAAATTACACTTTTTACACATAACAGTTTGTTTTACGTGGCTCAGCAAAGACATTTTCATTGTTGTATAAAGTACTCATTCAAACACAGAATGGAAAAATCACCTCGTTTCGTTCATTCAGAAATATTTACAGCTAGATTTAAAATGATGGCACAGCAACACGCATAAGGTAGAATTTATGGCTAAGAATAGAAGACAGGAGACACTTGAATTTGATCTGCACATGAGTTAAAACCAAGGTTTAAGTGCACGTTTTTTGTCACTGCATAGAGTGCAGAATGTCCTGGATCAGAGCAGAGAGTTTCACTGAGAAGTCCTCCTGCAAAGAGCCCCCTTCCTGTGAGGACAAAGACGGAGGCAGAGGAGGTGGGGAGGCGCCAAGGACCTCTTCCTCCACCTCAACAACCAGCCTCTCCATCCGCGTCTGAAGCTCTTGGTTCTGCAGCGCTGCGTTTTGGCAGAACTGCTCCACGCTGCCCAGAAGTTCAGACTTAGGAGACGACTCCAGCAGAGCTGCAAGCTGAGCTTTCAGAACCCCCACCCTGCTCTGCACCTCCTCCCTCAGGGCACCTGCTTCTTGTCTCAGTTTGGAGTTCATCGTCTGCCAGAGCTTCGAGTCGTTCGCCTCGTCCTCAGGATCGCTCGCCTCTTTCAGGCCTTCAGCTACGTCCCTGGCTGCAGTGTGGAAGTCACTGATGGCGTTGGCTAACTGGAGGCTGCTGTGCTCCAGGGTTTGGCTGATCCAGTGGAAGGTGTCCTGGTTCGGAGCTGGACTGGCCTCTGTCTGAGCCTCCCCTGTCTCTGGGTTGTGCAGGTAGAGGCTCAGCTGGTTGCACAGGTCTTGGGTGTTGCTGCTGAGCGAGCTCTGGAGCTGCTGGGTGAGAGGAGTCAGGCGCTCCCTCATGCTGGCCAGCGTGGCGCTGAGATGGGCCGGGGATGGGGACAACCTCAGCCGCAGATCGGCCAGCTCTTGGCGCAGACGCACACGCAGGCGCTCGGACTCCATGGCCAGTTTGTGCTTCATCTCCTCTGCCACAGGACTTTTGACCGCATCCTCGTCTTGGTTGTAAAGATCGCTGCTGTCTATGACGCTCTTGTAGATCCTACTGCAGCAAGAGGAAACACTTCATCACCACAAGGTCCGATGGATGCGTTAGATTTTACCTTCAGGTTAGTGTAGTCGACTTACTGCACGTCTTTTGTCAGGTCTGTTTTGTCATGAGCCTGGTTAGCATTTGGATGAGCCCAAGTTGCTTCCCTGATGTCACTGTTCAGAGGGTACGCTACAGGAAAAGAAAGTATATAATATTAAAGAAACAATGTACAAGTTGTCTGTAAATTAAAACACTGTAGAAATAATAAATACCTAAGGTTTCTGAGAGTGACAGGACACAGATCACAGCTTTCAGAAGCATTTTTCTCTCTCTGTGGAGGGACAAATAAAAAACTGGTAAGATTTTCACACAAGAACAAGCAGAGAATTGAAGCCTGAACATGAGTCAAATCTACAAACTGTACTTTGTGTTTTCCTTACTGGATAAAAAGAAACCCAGTGCGTGAGAAGAACAGCAAGTCTTCACTAAAAGACCAAGGGTCTGCGGAGCGACTTCTCTTAGCTGACTTATAAAGGTCCTCGTTATCAGATAGGCTGCCCAAACTCTGCCTGTGTCAATAAACACGTGGAGGGGTCACACTGACGACAACACAACACACAAACTCACAAAGTGTGAAGTCATGGTAACATCATCCACTGTGAACCCAATAAAAATCTTATTTTGTAAAGAAATCTTGTTGAATTGCTTTAAGGTGTTTTATAAAGGCAGACATTTGTATTTTTAGGCATGTTCCAAAACAATATATTGTTCCATTAGACAAGTATCTAGTGAGCAGGTTCCAGCCACTGCTTAGCAGCCGAAACATTTTTATTATGTGGATGTTTATGAAGCATTCACACTATTGTGATCCTTTTTTCTTCCGTACATTTTTCAGCATCTATCTCGTTCCACCATTTTTGTGCTATTTCAACAAATCATAAAACATTCAGCTCGTTCATGAGAAGGGTGCTATGACTTTTGGTATTGGTGCAACTTTAGCTTTTTGAAATATTTAGCCTTTTCTGCCAATTTTTTTCCCCTCATAGGAAATGATTTGAGCTCATTTTAAATCCTTCAAATCTTTAGCTCTGTTTACAACCTTTTACTGTTCCTTTCACATTTTGCTCCAGTTCAGCTTCTTTCAGCTTCCTTGTGGTGGAAATTTAAACTTTTTTCAGCTATTTTGTGCTCCTTTCAGAATCTTTCTGCTAACTACATTTTTGTGCTTCTTCCAACTTTTTTCTGCTCCTTTCGGCTTATTTCTTCAAGTTTCAGCTTTTTCTGCTATTTCAGCTACTATTTAGATGCTTTATACAAATTTTTAGCTTTTTCAGCTAATTCCACATTTTTTGCACTCTTTTCAACCTTTTTCAGCCCAAGTCAGCAAACATGTGCTCTCTCCACTTCCTTCTTGGAATTTAATCTTCTTAATGCATTTTAGAAACTTTTCAGCTGCTTTTTTCTTAATTTCAGTTTTATTCAGATAATTTCCACTTTTTGGGTACATTTTTGCTTCTTTCAGCCTAACTGGACAAACATGTGTTCTTTCTTCTGCTAATTTAAGCTTGTTCTAGATTTTCAGCTAGTTCTTTTTTTATAGCATTTTTATCTAATTTCAGCTGTTTTCTGATAAATTCAAGTTTTTCTTTGTAATTTATACTACTTTCAGCCTAATTAACTTCTTTCTGTTATTTTCAGCTTGCGTCCTTTCAGCTTATTTCTGCTAGTTTCAGCCTTTTCTGCTGTTTCAGCTACTAAAATAGCTACAGCTGTTTTTGTGCTAAATTTAGCCTTTTCAGCTAATTTCACATTTCTTTTTCAGCTAATTTCACATTTCTTTTTAGCTTATTTCAGCTTCTTCCATTTCTTTCTGGTAATTTAAGCTTCTTTCTGCCTTTTCAGCTACTTTTTTGTTGACGCTGTTGTTATTTTCAGATTTTTGAGCTAATTTCCTAATATTTGTGCTCATTTCTGCTTATATTAACTCATTTCAGCAAATATGTGTTCTTTCTGCTGTCTTCTGATAACTTAGGCTTGTTCTTCTATTCCAGCTATATTTCAGTATGTTCATAGCCAATTTCAGCTGTTTATCAGCAAGTTATTCTGCAAGAAGCATTCACACTGCATTTTTGCAGGACATTCAATTTCTCTGGTTTAATTTATGTTTAACTTGGCAAATCCCACTGAGACCACCAATCTCATTTTCAAGGGAGGCCTGGGCCTGAAGAAAGAATTAAACATATATTCAGTCTGTGGGAGGAAACCCACACAATTATGAGGAAAACATGCAAACTCCACACAGAAAGACTCCAGGCTCAACCGGGGCTTGAACCTGCAACCTTCTTGCTGTGCTGACCACTAAGTTGTTGTGCTGCAACTTCAAGTTGTGATCCTAAAACGTCCAAAACATCTGCTTTCATATGTCAAAGTAAGATTTAAAAAATGAAGCAGGACTGAAAGCCGTGCACATAAAACAAGGTAAGGATTTCTGGATCACTACATATTATTTATTTAGTTTTATTTTAGTTTATTGATGAAGTATTTATTACTGTACAACATTTATATTCTGACTTGTTAACACATCTTTAGTTTTCCTGACTTGCTTAATTACTGTGTTCTTATCTGCTTATAGTAAAAAGCAGCAATAATTTAATGAAAAAGCTATAATTCCTTGATCTAATGCACAATGCACCACTTTGCATGCAAAGGGTTTAAAGTCAAATCCTGGCTGATCTGTTAGTGCTCAGAATACTGTTTGATGGAGAGGACTCAGATACTACCACAACACATTTTTGTGTATATAATCATGCTATTGTTTGCTAAAGTTTATTAGCTTTGCTGGCCATTTTAAATAAAGTCGAGTCCAATTCTTCCTCCATTATAGATGTACATTCAGTGATTACTTACTGTGTTTGGAAAAATCTGTTCTGTAGTCCATAAGATATTTTGCTAACAGACATTGAATTGTCTTTTAGGAATCAGTCTCAGCTACTACCATAACAAATTTTAGCTCAATATTTGTAAAATCGACAGCATTAGAGCCATATTTATGTTTGCAAAGGTTGACTTTCTGTGACAGATAGCGAGCCAAGTTGGCCTTAACAGTTAATCAGTTGTAGAAATCTACCCAGCGATTACTTTCTGAGAGTTTTACTAAAATCCATCCAGTGGTTCATGAGATTATTTGCTAACAGACAAACTCTTGCATGCACACAGGCATTTAAATGATTGCTTCCCTTTTGAGCTTGTGTCACAATGTTTATTTTTTTTTTGTATTTGTAAAATGTAGATTGAAGCATTTTGTCACAAATAAGATGAACATCTGGGTGAAAGTTGAGCCCAGCTCAGTTAGATAAGTTGAAAGTCGTCACTGGGGGGTCAGAGTCCATGGTTACAGTGATGAAATACTTCATGTGGGTTATTCCAGGTATCCAAAGTTTGCCTTATATTCCACTACAATAACAGAGTGGAGTAAGACCTTGATTAGTGGACATAAATCAACACTGTTTACTGTTTTCTGCTGAAAATGAAACCATTTATCAGTGTAGATTATTGTGTGCATATTGCACATACAATCAAAAGGTTCAGTTTAGGAAAATATGAAATTGTGAAATCCTTTGCAAAATTTGGAGCAGACTCTGAACTCATGACATTTCATATCAATAAGCAAAGGCTTTGTCATTTTACTATGGAGCAAAAGCTGACAGACATTGATTACAGCTCAGGCAGCATCAAAGGAAACAATCAATGGTTTGTAAAAGATTGACAAAGCTAACTGTGTCGAACAGATGGAACATTTAAATGATTTATAATTGTATAAAAAGTATACATAGCAAACTAGTTAAGAGAATATGAATATGAATACAAATCACCTATTAATTTAAGTGGCACAAATCTTAATCTTTATTCCACTTTGTTTTTGTTTGAAGCTGCTATTATCAACCATATCAGGATGGCCAGCAACAAAAACACACATTTACACAATCGTGCAAGAGTTTTACACCCACGTGTTTCCTTTGGACTTTAATTAGACGAGATCTGTAGAGCTTATTTTAAAGTTCTTCTGGCTTCAAAAATTATTTAAACCATTAAAAAAATAAATTATACTACTGTTTTCACTTATTTTTTGTTCAGTCTTTGTCCTTGACCATGACACCATATAAAGCAGGTTTAGCAAAAAAAAAAAAAAAAAAAGCCAAGTGGACAAATATGAAATAAATTGAACTTTCAGGCTTATAAAAAACAACTAGTGAGTTAAACAACTACTACCCAATAATTTCTTGGAAGCAGAATTTAAGAAACGAGAGATGACTCAAGACTTTTTGTACACAGTACTGTTTGTCTTGTAAACTTGACCACAAGTCAAGGGTGACCCTGCGTCTCAGTTGTATTCACCTCAGTGCAACTCTGTACAGCAGGGGTGTCCAAAGTGTGGCCCGAGGGCCGTTTTTGACCCTTGAAGTGATTTTGTGCGGCCACATTTTGCAGTTTGAGAATGGTGTAATTTTGGCCCTTAGGCTTCAGAGATTTTAGGATTTTGAAAATTTTATGGTGATCATTTTTATTAAATTTTTAGGTTTAACAGCAAAACAGATTAAAAAAAATCTCAAAATGAGCAGTATTAAACTTAATACAGTCCTTTGGCAATAAATCAATCAAATCAAAAGACATTAAATTTAAATAATAAATTAACAAAAGGTTCATGTTTATGAAGCTTTTAATGTTTTGGGTTACAACAATTTAGAACACCTTCTCCACCAGAATTACTCAGTTTTCTCTTTTCTCCGAAATATTATTTATGTAGGTTGTGTTGTGTTTATGCCGAGTAAAATAAATCACAAAAAAGATGTATGCATTTTATTTTCGTTATTATA